TAGACAGGATCCAATTAACCTAACAGCATGTCTTTGGAGTGTGAGAGGAAACCGGAGTACCCGGAGGAAACCCACGCAGACACAGGGAGAACATGCAAACTCCAAGCAGGTGGTGCTGTGGTTGGGATAAGGGGAGAGAGAACTGTTTTCACCGTCGGAGATGCTCAACAATCACGGGCCGGCGACCCGTTGACTGACAGCCATGGGCGAGAATAGCTGCACGGGTAGGGTGCGCGCCCCCTACCCAGAAATGCAAAATCAAACACACACACACATATATACATATATATATATATATATATAATATGTACATGATTTTGAGCACTCGTGTCGCCCTGTAACAATACTTCTGCTATAGGTCAGACGGGAATTTTTTTACAAAAAAATACAAAAATGAATGAAGTTTTATTACTCAGATAGGTACATTATTATTATACAGTATTTATAAAGCGCCAATAGTTCGCTCAGCGCTGTACATTACAAAGGGAGACAGAACATGTGACAGAACAATACCAATACAATGCAAAACATGAGGGGCTGTAGTAACTTGTGATCTGCCCGACTTTTTTTTACTCATCATCTATCCTTATTGTTTGTGTATTTTATGTGTGGCCCGATGCAGACCAGGAAGGTTAAAAGGTTGCCCCCCCCCCCCCCCCTTGCCCTTAACATTTGGAAATGACTTGACGAGCTGTTGGTCTAATTTGGACTGACATCTAGACTCGGGGTTAATAAGTGTTGATCTGGAAGCATTGCAGTAATGTTTTTTTTTTACCTCTATTAATCCCACACTCACTTCCTCCAGTAAAATGATCGGCCATCAATCTTCGGTTAGTGATCCTTGTCATTATTTTATATGGGAAGATGGGACGCCAACTTGTACACAAACAGCGAAGCTGGTCTTCAGAAACTGACACGAGCTCCTCACTGCCTGATCAGCACACTATAAATCTGCACACTCCTTCCTGAAGGAAACTCACACATGGAATTAAAAGTCTGATCCCTCAATAAACAGCCGAGTAATAACATCTCAGCCTATAAAACAGGGAGCCCAGTGGGCCAGCTTCTGCTCATCCCGGGCACATTATTCTCTCTCTTCGAGCTTGGGACAAAGTTTACCTGGATTCACTGTACCTCTGAGTCCTAAAATGTACAGCAGCGATATATAAAAAAAATAAAAAAGGACAAGTAAAATAAACCGTCTGCAGAAATAAAATCTGATGACTTCTGTCTTTTCTCGGAACATTTAGAACTTTTGATTTCATGCATGTGTCTTCTGCTGGATAAACTCGGTCAGACAGATTAGGAAGTTCTCGGGGTCTTGGTGTTGGTGTGTGGAGGTCATTGCTGTCTCCGTTATTATCCTGTGTTAGATTTACTTACAATTCAGGCAAGGTGCAGAGTGTACAGGAAAAGTTCCATTAATTGGGCGCCAACTCTTTGGAAACTTCATGAAAAATACAGTCAATTTAATACCTAAAACCCCAGATGGACAGTTATTTCTGGGACAAAATGCTGCAAAAATGAACTTATTCTCTTTCATTGGTCAGAATAACAAGGCCAGTTTTAGGCTCCGTTCACATCTGAGCGTAGAGTTTTTATGCATTTTTTTGAGCGTTTTTTCGTGCGGTTTTATGTGCGTCTGCACGATTTGTTCTGGCGTTTTTGTATGAGCCAATAGAGAAAAATGTTATCTATGACATCAATCAGGTAACACAGTGGCTAAATGGTTAGCACTTCCGCCTGGCAGTACTAGGGTCGTTGGTTCGTATCCCAGCCAGGGGCGGACTGACCATTTGGAAACTCGGGCATTGCCTGAGGGCCCGGGGTCAGTAGGGGGCCCCATGAGATGCCCCTGGTACCTTTTTCATAGGCTTTTTTTGATTTTGGGCAAGGACTCAGGGGCCCCATGATCCCCTATTGCCCGGGGGCCCCATGAGGTGTCAGTCCACCCCTGATCCCAGCCATGGCACCACCTGCCTGCAGTTTGCATGTTCTCCCTGTGCCTGTGTGGGTTTCATCCGGGTACTCCAGTTTCCTCCCAAACTCCAAAGACATGCTGGTAGGTTAATTGGCTCCTGTCTAAATTGGCCCTAGTATGTGTTTGTATGAATGTGAGTTATGGACCTTAGATTGTACACCCCTTGAGGGTTAGGGACTGATGTGAATGTACAATATATGTAAAGCGCTGCGTAAATTGACTGCGCTATATAAGTACCTGAAATAAAATAAAAATAAAATAATTGTTATATGTAAAAGGAAAAAACCTGCGCTACACCCAAAAAAATCAAGATACAAAACGAATGACAATGAATAAATAAATGTGTGAATGAATATAGTGAACTGCTGCTACTCTTTCCTTGAACACCAGAAACAATTGGGTACTCTCCGTGATACTTTTTTATTTGCATTAACATACAATTTTGAGGTCAAGCTTTCGGGGAGTGTCCCCTTCTTCAAGGTCCAAGCAGTGTACTGCTTGGACCTTGAAGAAGGGGACATTCCCCGAAAGCTTGTCCTCAAAATTGTATGTTAATGCAAATAAAAAAGTATCACCGGAGAGTACCCAATTGTTTCTGTCGCAAATGCACTAATACGGCTACAATCACCTTGAACAACTGAAAAATACAAAACCTATATAAACGTGCTGTATGCTAAACACTCAAATGCAATATCTAAACATAATATATCCACAAAAAAATATAAATAAATAATATGGCACAAAGTATATTGCTAAAGTGCAATAAAAAGTCAAAATTCATAAAGTGAATAAACAAAAATCCAAATCCAAAATCCAGTAACGCAGTGCTACGTGCTGAAAAATCTTCCACCAAAAGTGTATAGGTGTCCACAAGTGCTTGAAACAACAGAAAGATCAGCCTCTTACCAGACACATTGATCTCCAATCAAGAGATCAAACGAGCAGACGGTGTTCAGATCCAACAGTGATACCCATGTTAGCCATATCAAGGAGATGAATGAACAACTGCAGGTTCACCTCCACAGATTCATCATGACAAACAGCTCTCCACACCATGTAAGGAAAGGTTTAATACAGGAGAAGAAAACTTCATAGTGCAACCTGATAAACTAACAAAAGATTTATTAAAGTATTGCACTTACATAGATAAGGTGCATAAAGGCAGTATACAAATCTAAAATTTCCGCCGGAACGTGATGACGTCACAGAATGCTCCACCCAGGGCCGGACTGACCATTTGGAATCTCGGGCACTGCCCGAGGGGCCGGAGTCAGTAGGGAGCCCCATGAGATGCCCCTGGTACCTTTTACATAGGCTTTTTTGAGTTTGGGCAAGGACACAGGGGCCCCATGATCCCCTATTGCCCAAAAGCCCCATGATTTGTCAGTCCGCCCATATATATGACATCAATTGTTGCCGTGCCAAAAAAAATACTCTTGGTCGCATGACAAAATGAGCGATTTGCAGTTTCCCATGTATTTCTATGAGAAGGAAAACATGCCAAAAATGCATCAATCTGCCTGAATGGACCTACAAAAACTTTTTTGAGCTTCAGGCAATTTGGAGTGGAGATGTCAACCATCTCCATAGAGTAATATTGTTTTTTTTCTCTCCGAGCTTCAAAATGCTCAGGTGTGAATGGAGCCTAAAACAAACCTTTCACCAGTATCCAATAGCCGACCACAATATGTATATATACGTTGTGACTTGCAAGTGGTTTACCGGGGTTACGGCCGCAGCCATAGCCCCGGTATTTTTTTTTTCAGCTGGCGATTGTCTTTCTCATTAAAGCGGTCCAAGCAGCTAATTAGCCATTGCTTTCAGAAGCAGCGAGAGGGGTCGTTCTCCCAACACCCCACCACCGCTCACCCAGTGTTCCTTGGGCTTACCACTTTTACCGACGAGCCCAGGAAACAATCCGACGGTTCACATGGCTGGCCATAGAGGTGAACAGAGACCAGATCATCTCTGATCACTTCTATGGTCTTGGAGGACCGATGTCATGACTTCCCTCTGGTCTGGGCTGGAAGTAAACAATTATTATTTTTTTTTTTTTTACTCAAAAGATCTCCCCAATTTTTTTTTTGATCTTTTGCTTTAAAAGGTAGAGGAGAGATTTGGGGTCTCTCAAAAAAGAGGACCTGTCATGCATTATTTCTATTAAAAGGGATAATAGGAATAAAAGTGTTAAATTAAAAAAAAAAAATTTAAGCAACAGAGTAAAAAAAGAAAAAAAAGTAAGTGTCCCATCCCACCATTCTCACTCGCAGAAGCGAATGCATACGTGAGATACGCATGCACATGTAAACGTTGTTCGCAGCACACATGTGAGGTATCGCAGCGAGCGTTCGAGTGAGAGCAATAATTCTGGTGCTAGATCTCCTCTGTGACTCTAAACAGGTCAATTTTGAAAGTGTCACCTATGGAGATTTTTAAGTATAATAGTTTGTCGCATTCTACAAGCATGTGCAATTTTAAAGCGTGACATGTTGGGTATCTATGTATTCAGCATAACATCATATTTCTTATTGTATTTTATTGGGTTTATATATTGTTTTTGTTTTTTTCTATTAAAGTGTTACTAAACCCACAACAGTAAAATCAGTCTGTATATGCATTAAAACATGCTTGTTATACTCACTGTGGAACCTAAGGGGTCAATCTTCTGCATTGTGTAAAAAGGATGTTTGATCCTGTCTTCTCTGCCCCTCTTCTTGTTCAAATGCCAACGCTGATGAGACAGACTGAACTGTGCCCTTCTGCACATGCTCAGTTTAGTGTGTATTGCTAGAGAGGTTTTTTTTTTTTTCTTGGGAAAGTGCATGTGATCAGCACAGGGCCAATCAGCACTGTCCAGACAGGAGTCAGGGGATTTCCATCCTCCTAGAGAAAACTCCTCCTACAAGTGTTAATCAGTGCCCAGCTGAAGTCACAAGACTGCTAAATACTGCTGATGAGAAAAGGTATTTAGCAGTTTATATTTACTAAAATAATTGCATTTCCATGTTGTGTGTACTGTGGGAGACCAGATATAGTGAATGCAGGGTCTGGGGAGACCAGATATAGTGAATGCAGGGTCCGGGGGGGAGACCAGATATAGTGAATGCAGGGTCCGGGGAGACCAGATATAGTGAATGAGGGGTCCGGGGAGACCAGATATAGTGAATGCAGGGTCCGGGGAGACCGGATATAGTGAATGAGGGGTCCGGGGAGACTGGATATAATGAATGTAGGGTCCGGGGAGACCGGATATAGTGAATGCAGGGTCCGGGGAGACTGGATATAATGAATGCAGGGTCCGGGGGGACCAGATATAGTGAATGCAGGGTCCGGGAGAGCAGATATAGTGAATGCAGGGTCCGGGGGGGACCAGATATAGTGAATGCAGGGTCCGGGGAGACCAGATATAGTGAATGCAGGGTCCGGGGGACCAGATATAGTGAATGCAGGGTCCGGGGAGACCAGATATAGTGAATGCAGGGTCCGGGGGGACCAGATATATAGTGAATGCAGGGTCCAGGGTTTAGTAACACTTTAATTAAGTGTATTTAAAAAAAAAATTGCCATTGTATTCTCTAGGGTCTCTATGTGTGTGTACATATATATATATATATATATATATATATATATATATATGTTTGGGAGTTCTAAGTAATTTTCTAGCAAAAAATACAGTTTTTTTTTTTTTACTAAACAAGAAATGCCAGAAAAGGTTTAGTCTTCAGGTGGGTATACACGATATTACTATTAGGGCCAGTTCACATTATCACATTCCTGCTATGCAATTTTGACAAGTGATTTTTCACGTGATTCTGCATAGGACAGCACTTTCAAAGGAATGGGTTGCCCTATGCTCGTTTGTCGCCTAGAAAGAAGGTCCTGCTCCTTTTCAGGTGACAAGCTCCACGCGATTTGTGATGGTGCGGTTTGCCGCATGATCCTGTTCCATGACAATCACAGCAGAATTGCATTGTGTTTCAAGGCCCATTGAAGGATAATGGCACCCGAATGCATGCAGTGTGTTGTGCTGTAATTGCCACGTGATTTGGCTGCGAAACTCCAAACCAAAAGTGTAATATGCTGCAGCTTACCAATCATTAGATATGGTGGCTGCGTTAGTTTTCTCTTTTTAGGCTTTTTTCCCCCTCTTTTATCACCTGGTGATCCAGCCAGTAACACACCTTCTGTATTAGAGCACCCCCACTCTGGATGAAGGAGCACAGGGGGCACCTGTGAACAGCAGCATTGTTAGTCTGAGGGGAGGGAAGTGTTAGATGTACTAGCAGATTTAAATACGCTAACAAATTGAAGCCTAGACCCAGCTTACACTTTATAAGCATTTACAGCAGGTTTGTCTCAACTCTGTAACCTATACAGTATATCCGAGGAAAAAACAGGTCCAGCAGTCCAAGGAATTGAAATCCCTGCTCTTCTCCCTCCTTTCCATGCAATGTATTGGGGATGGACCAGATCAATTCACTGTGACGGTGAGAAGAGAAGATGAAGGATAACAGGAATTTCAAATCCTAGGACAGCTGGACTGGCTGTGGGGGTGGTGACAATTCAGTAACCCCAGAGGTAAGTACAGTTGGAACCGAGAGGGTGTCTGGTACATTTTTCCCGTAAAGGTGAACTATCACTTTAAACACTGGCCTCATATGATACACAGAGATGAAACAAATCTACCTACATAGGTTGTACCTGTTTATCTGCAGTATTCGGTTTTCTACAGCTATTCAAAGTACATGCTGTAATTTATAAAGCTTACCTGAGCTTTCAGAAATCAGGAGGTGGGGAGCTGAAAGCGTTACTAAACCCACAACAGTAAAATCAGTCTGTATATGCAGTAAAGTATGCATGTTATGCTCACTGTGGAACCTAAGGGGTTATTCCTCTGCATTGTGTAAAAAGGCTTTTTGATCCTTCCCTTCTTCTACTGTCCCCAATCCATCTGCTGAATGTACAGAGCTCTAGGCGTTACTCTGCACATGCTCAGTTTAGTGTGTATGGCCAGAGAGTTTTTTTTCCCTTTGAGAGGGTGCATGTGATCAGCACAAGGCCAATCAGCACTGTCCAGACAGAGGGTCAGGGGTTATGCAGCCTCAAAGGACAGTCAGAGCAGAATGAAAAAACTCCTCCTACAAGTGCTCATCTGGACACTGATAGAACTCACAAGACTGCTCTAAACTACTGATGAGAAAAGGTATTTAGCAGTTTGTATTTATTAAAAGAATTGCATTTCCATGTTCTGTGTACTGTGGGTGACCAGATTGGATGGAAGGGACACCCCCCACCCTCCACCCAGGGGTGTATTTACCACAAGGCAATCAAGGCATTTGCCTAGGGCGGCATTTTTCAGGGGGGCAGCACCACAACCCGAAAGAAGAAGGGACACACACAGCAGGTGCGATCAGAGAGGCTGTGTGCTGCTTGTTAGTGTATGCAGAGCCTGACTCTTGTTCTCAGGGTGAGTGTCTTTTCTCTTGCTGGGGTGGGGGGTTTCCAGTGTATGGGGGGCTGTCATAGTGGAAGGCTCTCTTGGGTGAGGGTGGGGGTTGGGGGGGGGGGCTGGGTTGTTGTTGGTCAATGTCAAGCTCTCTTCATGGGGGAGGAGGGTATTGGTCAGTGTTGGGATCTCTCTGTGAGGGAGGGGAGCCGATTTTTCTGATTCCTAGGGCAGCACGAAACATAAATACACCACTGCCCCCACTCCCTGCATACAGCTCACATGAAAAGAGCTGAGGCTGTCAATCACGGGCTGTGTGTGTTGGAGCTCCATCCCGTTACCTTTTTTACCTCTTGAAGTCAGATAAACATGTCAAAAACAAGTGAAAATAAGAGAAGAACAAGGCAGCAGATGTAAATGATACTTAGTTTTCTGGATTGAAACAAGTACACACTATAGAGGGATATGCTTTGGTCATATTTCGTGTCTGAGGTTTACAACCACTTAAATTCCATTCAAAATAAACGTGTCTCTTTATTTTTGTTTTTTTAATTGATGCATCTTTTGTGCTATCCCACTAAAAAAAAAAAAAAAAGTGGCAGACTTTTCCAATTTTCATAGTTTGACATTCATGGGCTAGAGCTGGACCGTGTCACATTATCCGTTTATTCCATGTATGTGTTGGTCTGGAATTCACGTCCTTCTGCTTTCCCTCCGTAACAAGTCGTTCCAGAAAACTCCACTTTGTTACTTTCCTTGCTAAGTATAATAGCAGCCGCAGAAAAAAGTATGACTCCGCCGGCCCATGAGAAACAATAAACTTTATTCTTTGCACTTTATTTCACACGCAGCCTTGTGAATTTCCCCCAGATATTAAGTTGTGGAATTTAGAATTCTTTTTATTGTAATTTATATGGGGGAGAGAGCTGCTTTCTCTAATAGCTACCTGTGGGAGCGGGAGCAGAGCATTAAAAATTAAACAGCTGAATGGAAGATTGCTTTGCAGTCGTACTTTTATGGACAGAAAATGTTTAATGACAGGTGGTCCTGGCATCGAGTTTTGGCCTTGGAGACACATCTCTCTTTATTTTTATTTTTTAATTAACTTTTTATTTTCAATATTTTAGCTGGTTTCTGCTGATATGTATTTTTAAATGGTGTTTGAATGTACTTTTAAGAAGGAGAAGTCAGTGTACTTTTCTTTGCCCCTAGGGGGATGTCTGCTGCAGAACGAAAAATACAAATGACTTGTCACTGTGCCTTTACAGTACTGCAGGATGCAGGATCCAGCAAGAGAAACTTTACAAAAAGAGAATGTTTGCTGCTGCCCAGATCTTCCAAACTGTGTGTCCCCTGTGGTCAGTAATGTAGCATTTTCAGGCTTTCATAACTCATAATTGCCAATAGTAATAAACAGAAACATAGTGGTCAATGGGTGAATTCTGCTTACTCCAGAGGTCCCCTTTAGAATGGATAGGGTCAGCCACCTGCTTACAGGGATTCCCTTCCTCTGGATAATGGGTCAAACTTGAAATCTCCACTGGCTCTGAAAACTTAATGGCTTAGGAGGAGGTCACTTCCCAGTGTGGAGGGTCCGATCTCCCGCACAGTCCCCGGACACTGACCCCAGAGCGCTGTGGAGTGTGAGCTCCTGGGGTAAGTGTCCGGGGACTGTGCGAGAGATCGGACCCTCCACACTGGGACGTGACTGTCACGATCGCACGGTCGCCGCCACCAACAGGCGACAATCGCACGACCGCGACTAACAGTAATACGTCACACCCGTGGCGTCAGACCCCAGACCTTCTCACCAACTTGTGACCGAAGGACCGGTGGGCCGATCTAAAACCGCGGTGTGACGCACGTAACAAGGCCCCACCCAGCTGCACCCTGCACAGCGATTGTCCAGCTAATGGGCTACAATCGGTGCCTGTAGCCTGAATGCGCTTGTTACTGGGTCAGGTTAATTACGCAACTAACCCTCTACTGCCACCACCACTTTTGTCAGAGACTGGGAAACTTCCGTTATCAAATATACACTATAATGATTGAAAAGTCGCCTGTCCGATACGGTCACCGCAGGCCAATTGGGCAGGGAGTAAACAAACACAGTAGCGTCTCTTCAAAAGGCAGGAATTCGTGAATTGCAAGTAAGCGCTTAGAAACAGTTTAACGCTTTTAGAAAGAAAGATTTGTTACTAAAAGAGTCAAACAGGTGCAATAAAATATTTACAAAGAAAATGTAACTATATATATATATGCATATAAAGGTACAGCAAAGAGATAATAGGAAGGAAATTAAAGAGTTCAGTTACTTGCCAATATGCCTTGGTTTGTAAGCAAATCCAAGTGCAGAGCAGGAAGGGTCTTTGATCTCCTCTGTTACGATGTCAAACTCAGGAGATGTGTGTTAAGCTTTCAGGCTTGCTAGCCTGTCTCTTTTAAAAATCCCTCTCAAAGGGGGGTTGCTCTGACTATGCTGTGTTGGGAAGGGTCAGGAGAACTCTGAATTAGAACCCACATCTGTCATAATCCATGACATGAAACATCGGGGAAAAGCCGGACTTGAGGAATGTTCAATTTTCTTGCAAGTCCGGGGAGAACTGTCTTATCTGCTTTTATGATGGGTGAGCTTACACAAGTTTCTCAGGTCAGTGCTTTTAAGTGCGAAAGGTTACACTTCCGCAGACAGCCTGGCACCGGACTGAGGATGCCTTAACTTGAGTTGACCCCCCCTGCCACCTGTCACTCAGGAAGGGAGGGGGTAGGGAGTGAATGATCGAGGAATACCTCAAATAAAAAGAAAGAGAGAGGGGAACTCCGCATCCAACTCTGATGAGCAAGTTTGCTACATCGACCTCCTCCTAAGCCATTAAGTTTTCAGAGCCAGTGGAGATTTCAAGTTTGACCC